TGAAGAAAAGGATTCCTGGACAGCATAGAACCCAACCATCAACAATCAAGTATCCTCATCATCAGGAGAAATGTGAGTTAGGTTTAAAAAAAACATAATAATTTTTGTATGAATAAAATCAAATTAAATTATTGTTATTATTTTTGAATTGCCATCGTGAAGAAAAAACGAACATAAAATTATGTTAAAAAAAAAAATCTTATTAAGAATATTAAATATTATATAATTGAATTTAAAATTAAAAAACGAACATAAAATTATATTAAAAAATTTTTTACTAAAAATATTATATATTATATTATTGAATTATTATTATTTTTTTCAAATATATTGAAATTAAAACTATATTGAAATTATATTGTTAATCACCCTTAAATCTGGAAGAACTAACAGGGAAATTTTCAAACATGACTACAAACGAGAACACTACTTTCACCTCAGACTTAGTAACACGTCTTATAGCTGCTAATACAGCATCTTTAAAACTAGAAATTGACGGTCTCAAGAGACAAATACAGACATAAGTCGATGTCAATACCGTAACGGAATTTAAAACTGAAACAATAGACGAGACTATACGCTGTGACGAAACTTTAGATGTAATCAAAAGTCTCCCTCAATTTAACGGTAAAGACGGCTCTTACGTGAGCTGACGCGAAGCCGCAAATAATTCTCTTAGCCTATACACCCGCGGTAGTAGAAAATACTTCGCCGCTTTAACCATTCTTCGGAATAAAATAACTGATGACGCTAATGACGTATTGACCAACCACGGTACGGTTTTGAATTTTGATGCAATAATCAGTAGATTAGACTTCGCTTACGCAGATAAGCGACCAATACATATAATGATATTTGTGAAAACTTGCGTGTTATGACGTATTGTGGCGGCGCTCTGCTTTTTTTCCTTTTTAAATCTGTATTAAAAGTTTATTATATCAACTGTTGTGCTCAAAATTTTTTACAATTCAAATACTTGCCGACAATGGTGGAAAGTTACACCAACGGGTGTGATTTCTTGTGTTTTTATACATTTAAATTGATTAATTTGAATCAAATACACTAAATCTTTTGTTTTTTTTTTTTGCAAAATAATAATTGCAATTGTTTTGTTTTGATTTAAAATCAGCTGATAGAGACAGCAATAATTACTATAAGGCGCGAACTAAAAAGCGCGCGAACTAGTGTTGATAAACGTTTTCAAAATTTATAAATAACTGTAATAATAAGTAATATTATATTTGATTAAGAATAATAAATACTTTTTGATTTATAATGAAAGAGTGCAATAAGTGCCGTTCTACTATACGTGGAGAGTCTGGTTTAGTTTGTGAAGGTGTATGTGGTAAAGCATATCACATTGCAACTAAATGTTCTGGTGTGGAGCAATCACATATTAATAGCCTTAATAATAAAATGATTCATTTTATTTGTGATGATTGCTTACAATATATACACAATGTTGACTTTTCTCTTAGAGAAATTAATGATAGTGTGACCAAAAATAATAATTGTCTTAATGAATATAAAAATGAATTTAAAAAAGCCTTGTGTGTTTCAGTCACACTCCAGAAGAAAGTGTTTCTTTATTTAACTACTTATATAAAATATTTACATTTTTGGTTTCAACTGTTCATACGTTCAACGAGGTGTTCGTACGCAATGCTCAAGTTGATTATTTACATTTTTGTTTCAATTGTTCATACGTTCGAACGAGGTGTTCGAACGCTATGTTAAAGTTGATTATGCTGTAAGTCCGACACGTAGGCGCCACAGTACTCCGCCTCTAGTAAATTTAAAGTGCGAAGCGAACTCTTTTGCCGGAACGAAGTCGTGTTGCTTCAAAATCGCTGTCATCTAAATTGAGTATGCATGCTGGTTTCAATCTGTCTGTTGATATAAACCTCTCCTTACCGTCGATTAATATTTTAAATATCTTCTTCGCTCTTTCTAGCACTTTATATGGTCCATTGTAGGGGTTCTGTAGTGGCTTTTTAACCGCGTCACATCTAACGAATACAAATGCACACTTGTGTAATTCCGGATGGACGAATTCCGTTTGCTTCGCGTTGTGCGTGGTAACGGCTGGTTGTAAATTGCTCACGTTGTTTCTGAATTTTTGCATCCATTCTGTCGTTGAAGGTGTGTTGTTATCAGTCTGAAATAAATCTCCAGGCAGTTTAATTGTAGTTCCGTAAACCATCTCTGCAATTGAAACGTTCTCCTTTTGAAGTATTTTGCATCTTAGACCCAGCAACACTAATGGTAGTGCTTCAACCCAATTACTTGTTTCATGACATTTTAAAGCGGTTTTAAATGTTCTATGCCATCTTTCAATTAGTCCATTGGATTGTGGATGATACGGAGTCGTATGAATCACTTTAATACCCAAGCGCTTGGTTAATTCTCGGAAAAGTTGCGATTCAAATTGCCTACCTTGGTCTGAAACTATTTGTTTTGGTACTCCAAATCGTGAAATCCATGTCTGCATAAAGGCATTGGCCACTGATTCTGCTGTTATGTCTTCTATGGGCAATGCTTCTGGCCATTTGGTAAATCTGTCAATACAAGTGAAAACATATCTGTATCCTTGAGACTCTGGTAACGGACCCACGATATCTATATGTACATTGCTAAAGCGTTGCGTTGAAAGTTGAAAATTGCTGACTGCTGTTTTGGTATGTCGGTTAATTTTAGCCTTTTGACATGCATTGTCTTGTCCAATCTGCCACATCTTTTTTTAATGACTGCCACACATACCGTTGCTTTATTAAATTGATTGTTGCCTTCACCCCAGGATGCGCTAGTGAGTGGATTGCGTCGAAAATTTTTTTCCTAAATGAAGAAGTGATGTATGGCCTTATTTGTGACGTTGAGGTATCACAATATAATGCACAATCCATATCCGGTAGGGTAATTGCTTTCAATATTAGACCAGAATCTGAAGATTTTCTAAGACGTTGCAATTCTTCATCAGTTTGTTGTTCATCATATAGTTCTTTATAATTGATAGGTGTTGGCAATGATATGGTCGTCACTCTTGATAGTGTATCTGCTATTATATCATTTTTCCCTTGTATATGCTGGATATCAGTGGTATACTGTGAAATAAAATCCAACTGTCTTAACTGTCTGGGTGTCGCCTTCTGTGGTTTTTGTTTAAACGCAAAAATTAAAGGTTTGTGGTCAGTAAAAATTGTAAACTGTTGACCTTCTAAAAAATACAGGAAGTGTTTAATTGCTGCGTAAATAGCTAGCAATTCTCTATCGTATGCACTGTACTTGATTTGTGCGCTTGTTAGTTTTTTAGAAAAAAATCCTAACGGTTTCCACTCGCCTTTAATTTTTTGTTGCAGTACAGCTCCCAGCGCAAAATCTGATGCATCAACTGTCAATGAGGTAATTGCATTATGTTTTGGATAGCACAGGAGTGTTGCATTGGCCAATGATTCTTTACATGCATTAAATGCTTGCTGCCGTTCTTCCGTCCATGCGATGACTGTTTTATCTCTCTTCACATTACCTGTTGGTATGCTGTGCAATATTGCTTGAGGTTCTACCGCTTTTGGAATGAATCGTCTATAGAAATTCAGCATACCCAAAAACCTTTTCAAATCACTTGCTGTTTTTGGTAATTGATAGTCCAATATAGCAGTAACTCTAGCAGGAAGTGGTTGAATGCCATTGGAGGATACCCAGTATCCTAGAAATTCGACTTCACCAACCGCAAACGAACATTTTTCACTATTAATAGTTAATCCAAAGTTGCGTAGACGCTGCAGTACTTCTTTTAAGTGCTGAATATGTTCAGTTACATTTTCTGATGCAATAAGTATATCATCGATGTAGACATAAACGCATTCTAAACCTTGCATTACTTGATTCATAAATCTTTGGAAGGTAGGTGCAGCATTGCATAACCCAAATGTCATTCTTGCGAATTCAAAATTTCCGAATGGTGTTGTAACAGCAGTTTTTTTTATATCTTCCTTAGCTACGGGAATGTGATGATATGCCTTTGTTATATCTAATTTGGTAAATATTGCCATCAAGAAAAGATCCAAAATCATGAATGTGTGGCACTACATATCTGTCGGGAATCGTTCTAGCATTAAGATTGCGATAATCACCACAGACTCTCCATTCACCATTAGCTTTGTTGACCATGTGAATTGGACTGCACCAACTACTATTGGAAGGGCGACATATTCCCAGCTTCATCATTTCATCGAATTCTCCTTTACAAATCTTCAATTTTTCTGGAGACAAACGACGTGGTTTACAAAACACTGATGTCCCAGGAGTTGTTTCAATATGATGTTCGATATCGTGTTTGGTTTTGGCATGAAAGTTTAATTTTGTTAAATCTGCAAACTCTTTTACCACTAATTTTATTTCTGATGTAGTGATAGACGTAACCGAAATGTTATTTTTATTACCTTGTCCACTACACAATGATTTAGTCACGGGATCCATCAATCGATTATTTTTAATATCGATTAGTAAACCAAAATGGGAAATGAAATCTGAACCAATAATGGGCTTTGTAACTTCTGCTACCACAAAATCCCATGCCAGTTGTCTTTTTAACCCAAAGCTGATGACCAATCTTTTGCTGCCATATGTTTTAATTGGTGTCTGATTCGCTGCATATAACGTTAATGCCTTAGGAGTGTCTAGTTTTTCCGCTTTTGACGCCGGGAAAACTGATACGTCCGCTCCTGTGTCGATTAGGAACCTGATTTTTGTTTTTTTATCGCAAATAAACAGGCGACTAATTTCTGGGCAAAGCTCATCCGTCACCAAAGATGAGGAGCCCTTTAATTTTTTGATTGCTCACTGTTTACGAAGGTACACGGTTGTACGCATTTCTTCGCTGCTTTCCCAAATTTGAAGTGATACCAACAAAATGGTTTGCTCCTGCTTGCAGAACGTGACTGTTTGTTGTATCTTCCACCACGTGATTGAGATCTGGATCTTGCCAACGATGACACTTGTTGCTATAATTCTTCTATTCTTTTTTCTAGTGATTGCATATCCAATGTTGGTTGTGTGGTATATGCATTCATTTCAGTCACATCCGTTGTATCACATATTTTATCTGCCATAACTGATAATTTATCTAAGTTATCTTCACTAACAGATAAAATTGCTTTGACTTGTAACGGTAGACGTTGCATCCACAGTTGTTTTAACAACTCTTCTGAAACCTTACCTTGGGATAGTGTTCGCATTTCATTTAATATTTCCGTTGGTTTTTTGTCACCGCCTTCTACGTTACTAAAAAGTCTCCTCAAGCGTTTCTCTTCGGAGTCAGAAAATGAGCTGATTAATCTCTCTTTCAGAATACTGTACACGTTTGATGTTGGAGTGTTGATAATAATGTCACTTATTTTCGATAAAACACTGCTTTCCATGGCTGCTACCACTGTATGAAACTTCGTTGAGTCTTGCGTTACTCCTGCAATCACAAATTGCGATTCAATTTGTTTAAACCATAAGGCAGGATCCGCTCGCCAGAATGGAGGTATCTTCACCGCTACTCTTGCAATTTCTGCATTTTGCTGCGCCTCACTAGCTAACTGTGCGCCGTCTTCCATAGTTTAATTTCAACTAAGTTGCTATTCGATTAAGTAGCGTAGCCGTGAAAACGACTTTTTATTATCTCTTACTATTTGAAACTATCTCTTAGTTAGTTGTTAGAACAACTGTTTGTTCAACCTCGGGGTCACCACTTGTGTGTTTCAGTCACACTCCAGAAGAAAGTGTTTCTTTATTTAACTACTTATATAAAATATTTACATTTTTGGTTTCAACTGTTCATACGTTCAACGAGGTGTTCGTACGCAATGCTCAAGTTGATTATTTACATTTTTGTTTCAATTGTTCATACGTTCGAACGAGGTGTTCGAACGCTATGTTAAAGTTGATTATGCTGTAAGTCCGACACGTAGACGCCACAGCCTTAAACGTTAACGAAAATGAAATTAAATGTTTATTAAAAGCTATAGAGGCAAAATATGCTGATAGGATTAAATCACTTGTTGAGGTCCAAAAATCATATGAAAACAAATTTAATGGGCTTGAGCAAAAAATTACATTGTTATCTGATGTTATTAAAAAACAGAATGATGAACTAGCTATTAATACATCTAAGAATATAAACATGATTGAAAATAAAGATACTTTTGCTGCTAAGCTAAAAATGGGTATCAATGCTAATGTACCAATTACTGTGAAACCCATTAATAAACAACAGAGTGAAGAGACAAAAAAAGACTTAAAGAATAAAATTAACCCAACTCAGCTAAATGTTAAAGTGAACGGATTTCAGACTAGGCATGATGGCAGAGTAACTATTAAGTGCATTAACTCTAAAGAACGTGAAGTCCTTGCTAATGATATTAAGAAAAAACTAAGTGATCAATACGTCATTGAAACTCCTACATTGCGTAATCCCAAAGTGCTTATCTCAGGAATGAGTGAACAGTTAGATGGCGACAGTTTACTTCTCGCAATAAAAAATCAAAATAGTATCTCGCTCCAACACCTAAAAGTTTTAAAAGTATACGAATCTTATAAAAAAAAGAATACATTTAACGCCATAATTGAATTAGACGGTAAAGCTTTCAAACAAGTTATGAAAGATCGTAGAATTAATATCAGGTGGGATAGGTGCATCGTTTATGAGCATTTAAATGTTATGAGATGTTATAAATGCTGGGGCTTTAATCATAAAGCAAGTGTATGCAAAGAAATTGACAATGTATGTGCTAAATGTAGTGAGACTGGGCATACTCATAAGGAGTGCAAAAATGTTTTTATTAAATGTGTTAATTGTGTTAAGGCAAAAAAACTCTTAACCTTCGTGAGCTGAGTACGGATCATGATTGCAGAGATATTATGTGTAAGACGTTACAGCGGAGAGTTAAACTAGAAGCAGAAAATACTAATTATTAATCATGGAAGATAAAACTTTAATTAATATTTTTTGTAAACAACAACGTGGTATTAATATAGTTCATTTTAATGCGAGAAGTCTTTCTGGCTTAAAATTAGATCATGTAAGAGCTGTTTTCGAAGACAGCAAAGTAGATGTTATCTGCATTTCTGAGACTTGGTTTGACTTCCATCTTGATAGTTCATACCTATCTATAAACGACTTTGTTTTATTTAGACATGATAGGAAACATAAATTGGGTGGCGGCGTTGCTATTTATTGTAAATCATATTTAAGAAGTCAATTGATCTGTATATCGGAAGAAAGTGAAATTGAATTTTTATGTGTAGGTATTTATTTAGGTAGTCATAAAATTCTTGTTTCTTGTGCTTATAACCCCAGCAAAAGGTACTGTAGTGGTCCTCTTTTTGAAGCCCTCCTTCCTATTGCTGTCAATTTTGATTTTATTGCCATATTTGGCGATTTTAATATTGATATTCTTTTGAGCAATGCTAAAGTGTCTGCACTGAATGACCTTATAACTATGGTTGGTCTAAGCATTGTGAATAATACCGTGCCTACTAGATATAGTAATAATGTACGCCCAAGTCTCCTCGACTTAGTGATCGTATCTGATCTGACTAAAGTGTTGTTATTTGATCAGATTTCGTTTGTTTCCGATCATGATTTATTATTTACTACCTTAGATTATTGTGTAACGAGAAATGTCAATCCCTCTCAATTTTCTTTCTGGGATTTTAAATCAGCTGATACTCAGTTATTATGTAGTGATCTTAGCACTGTTGACTGGAGTAATTGCTGGTTTGGTGCTTCAGTTGATGACAAATTGACAGTCTTAAACAATATAATTATTAATTATTTGCATCAGTATATTCCGTATCGTACTATACATGTTAAGAATTCTTCATGTCCATGGTTCAGTACTGACATCAAACGTATGATAAACAAGAGAAATAGGAAGTATGCAGTGTGGAAAAGATATCCGAATGTTTTTAACTGGACGCGGTTTAAAGCAGCTCGAAATTTGACTCGAATGGCTATTTATCTTGCTAAATCTAGGTTCATTAAATCTAAACTAGATACCTCATTACCTACAAAATCACTTTGGAGCAACATCAAAGCTCTAGGGGTGGTTAATAGCTCAAGAAATGTATGTAGCATTGATCCTAACATTTTAAATGATTTCTTTGTTCCTATAGGAGATAGATTGAACGTTGCTCCGGTCTTCCCTGAACTTGAGAGTGTTCCCTCCAAACGCAGTTTTGACTTTATATGTGTTAGTGAAGAAACTGTCTTTAATAATGTCATGAAAATTAAGTCAAACGCTATTGGAATAGATGAAATTCCACATAAATTTATTAAACTTATACTGCCGTTTATTATTACTCCTTTGACGCACATTATTAACCACTGTTTCACTACATCATGTTTTCCTACTGTTTGGAAAAAAGCCAAGATTATTCCAATTGAAAAAAAGGCTAATGCATCCTCATGTTCCGATTATCGCCCAATCAGTATTCTCCCTTCACTCTCTAAAGTGTGTGAGAACATTATGGCTGATCAAATACGTACTCATCTTAACTGCTTTAAACTTCTCTCTCCTCTCCAGTCTGGGTTTAAAAAAGGTCATAGTTGCACGACGGCAATGCTTAAGGTCCTCGAAGATATTCGATGTAGCTATGATCAAAACTTAGTAACATTTTTATGTCGCCTTGACTTTACCAAAGCTTTTGACTGTGTTGACCATTCTCTATTATGTAAAAAGCTTTTTCATTCCTTTTATTTTTCTAGGTCGGCCTCAGAATTTATTTATAGCTACTTAACTGGAAGGGAACAGGCTGTATTCGTAGAGAATGCTTTTTCTAATTTCAAACCTTTATTTACTGGGGTACCTCAAGGCTCTGTACTAGGACCTCTTTTATTTTCAATTTATATTGATGATATTTTTTCAATATGTAAGTATGCTAAATTGCATGCGTATGCAGATGATATTCTAATGTATCTATCTTGTCGGATTTCTGATATTAATGACCTCGTGCAAATGACTACTGCAGATTTATCATATATAGTGGTATGGGCTAAGCAAAATAATATGTTCCTTAATATAAACAAGTCTTCAATTCTACCAATTGCTAGGCTAAATATTAATGTTGATTTCTTGCCATCTGAAACACTTGGCAACACAATTATTAAATATACTAATTCGGCAAAATGTCTGGGTTTTCATTTGAACACTAATCTGCATGCTGGCGAACATGTTAACCAAGTTATTAGAAAATCTTTTGCATGTTTAAGAGGTCTGAACCTTTCTGTGAAGTATACACCGGTTGACATGCGTGTTTTGTTGGTAAAACAACTAATTATTCCTATTGTTATGTACTCCACTTTAGTGTACTCAAAACTTGATGTTGAATCCCTCAATAAGTTACGAAGCTTAGTAAACTGCTGCACGCGATATGCTTTTGGTCTTAGACGCTTTGATCACTTAGGTATTTATAGAAATGTGATTCTAGGGTGTGATATTGAACAATATATGCAGTTTCGAGTATGCTTATTTTTGTTCAAACTTTTATCCACTACTACGCCGAAGTATCTTTTTGATTGCTTGCAGCTAACTAGATCTAACAGATCTTGTCTTTTCATCATTCCCAGATTTAGTTTTGCCTCCACTACTAAGTTTTTCTTTATTCAGTCTGTTAGAATATGGAATGCTCTTTCAAGCACAACCAGAAATGCAGTTAACCCGAGTGTTTTTAAGAAACTGTTAAAAAACGAACTGTGTTAACGTCACGTTTATTTGTCTTTATTTATTTTTTTTTGTTTTTTATTCATTGTTTTGGTTGTTTTTTGCTGCTATATAATTAAGTTTATTGTAATTTGTTTGTTATTAACTTAAATTCTGTTATTTAAATATTTCATGCTGTTTTCTTTTTTGTTTCGCTGTTAATCAGTAACTATAATTTTAATACTTTTTACATATGTTATTACTATATTCTCTGAAAACTTTAATTACTTCTTTTATTTTATTTTATTGTATTTTTTATTTTTATTTTAATTCTTTAAATTAGCTTTAAGATACTGCAATAAAAAGGGTTGTTCCTTAATGCATTTAAATAAATAAATAAATAAAATATAATCGAACAAGAAATAAGTGTCCTAAGACAAGGCTCAATGACAATTTTGGACTACTATAACGAAGTAAACAAAAAACTAACAATGCTAATAAACAAAACTATAATGACATACGGTAATAGTAACTCTCTAACCGCAGAATTAAATAAAAAGCATCGTGAGAACGCTACACGAATATTTATAACAGGATTAAATCCTCCCTTATCTAACGTCTTATTTTCACTGTCTCCAGAAGACCTTCCTAATGCTTTAGCAAAAGCCCAAGAGTTGGAATCAAACCAACTACGTACGTACTAGCTTCGCAATTATGTTTAGTAAAAATGCGAACTCAACCCAAGTAAATAGACATCAAAATAATCTGCGTTATCCACAACGCCCTCAAATCCCAACTAATAACAATAAAAGTTATTTCCCGAAACCAGAACCAATGGAAGTAGATCCATCGATGAAAAATAATCAGGGACCAAGACCACAGTATCAACAACCAATACCACGGTATCAACAACCGAGATATCAAAGCAATTTCTATAACCCGAATCCTATACGTACCCCATTTAACCAAAACTCATGGAAGCCAACTTTTAATCATCGCCAGGGATTCCCTAACTTCGTTCCCAATCCACAACCTAATCAAATAAGTCAGCCACAGAAACGCCCATTAGAGAGTGTACAGCAAAGTGCACAACCTGTAGTAAAAAATCAACGTATAAATAACATTCAAGAGAGTGCTTTTTTAGGCCATGGCCCGGCCTCCCCTACATCTTCAGAACTAAACCTGGAGGCCAACGAGTCCGTATACTGATAGATACAGGAGCAACTAACTGCTATTGCCGACCAGGCATATTAGCAAATAAACAAGAATTAGCAATTTATAAACGAGTAAAAACAATAAACGGATACACTATAATAAAATATTACTATGAAGCAGAAATTTTCGGAATTAAGACAAGATTTTATGAAATATCGAATTTAGAATGCGATATATTGATAGGAATTAATGTATTAAGCCGAGCTAACGTAACTATAGATTTTAAAAAACAAGTCCTGAGATATAAGGGACTTATGGAAAAATTTATAATGGATTCGAACGATACAGAGAAAGCTCCACACTCTGTGAATAATACATACATAAAACGTAATAAAAAATTGAGTAATAATAATCAAAAAAATTGCAATGTTAACGATAAAATAAATACTAAAAGCAAAAACGCTGCAAAGCAGCAACCGGAAAAAAAATCATCCAAAAAAAGCAAGCGAAGCTAAATTAAACAATATTGATGACGATGACTCAATCAAAAGCCTGAGACTAAATATCAAACGGCAAATTGAGAAAGGTCATGGCAATATCGATATGAATTTACCCTTTAGAACTGATGTTAAAGCGGAAATTAGAACTACTGTTGAAACTCCCATATGGAGTAAACAGTACCCTTATCCCTTGTCAGTAAATTCTTTTGTTAACAAAGAAATAAATAAAATGCTTCAAGAAGGTATAATCAGGGCTAGTAAGAGCCCATATAATTCACCCATATGGGTTGTACCAAAAAAGGGTACAAATACAGATGGTACCCCTAAACTGCGCATGGTAATCGATTTTAAAAAAATCAACGAAAAAACGATCTCGGATAGATATCCTATCCCAGACACTAATGTAATTTTATCTAATTTGGGAAAGTCGAAGTGCTTTTCAACGATCGATTTAAAATCTGGATTTCATCAGATATTGATGAAAGACGAAGATATCGAAAAAACTGCATTTTCCGTTAACAATGGAAAATACGAATATATACGAATGCCATTTGGTCTGAAGAATGCTCCAAGCATATTCCAGAGAGCTATGGACGATATATTAAGAGAATATATCGGAAAAATCTGTCATTTATATATTGACGATATCATAGTTTACTCACAGAGCATTGAACAACAAAAAGAAGATTTATTGAAAATAATACAACGTTTAAAAGAAGCAAATATGAAAATTTCGTTGCAAAAATCAAAGTTTTTTCAAAAAGAAGTTGAGTTTTTAGGCTATATTGTTGCCCATAATATTATAAAAACAGATCCAAATAAAGTAGTTACTATTAATGAATACCCTTTACCACATACTCTTAGACAGCTTAGAAGTTTCTTAGGTATGACAGGCTTTTATAGAAAGTCCATAAAGGATTATGCTTTTGTTACAAAGCCACTTACGAAATATTTAGCCGGAGAGAATGGCAGAGTATCTACATTTAGCTCGAAAAAAATAGAAATAAAACTAGACGAAGAAGCAATTAAAGCCTTCGAAAAACTAAAAAAATTATTAGTAAATCAAATGGAACTAATACAATCTAATTACGATTCAAAATTCGTGTTAACTACTGACGCGTCGAACGTGGCAATTGGTGGAGTACTTACCCAAAACGGCAAGCCCATCACCTTTATATCTAAAACATTGAATCAAACAGAGCAAAATTATGCTACAAACGAAAAAGAATTATATGCAATAGTGTGGGCACTAAAATCATTACGAAACTACTTATACGGGGTCTCAGATTTAGAAATTCATACTGATCATCAACCCTTAACATTCGCCGTATCTACGCGAAATCCTAACGCCAAGATAAAGAGATGGATTGCATTCGTTGAAGAATTCGCACCAAAAATTATCTACAAACCAGGAACCACAAATGCAGTGGCAGACGCCCTTTCATGGCAGTACTTAAATCATCTTCCAGAAAATTCTTCAATCACCTCTATACAACACTCTGCAGAAAGTAGTGATAACACTACGATAAAAGAAACGACCAAACCACTCAATCAATTTAAGCAGCAGATCCTATCATCAAAACCTAGATACACGATACTTGAACAAATTACAAATTTCGATAAAACACGATATATTATAGAATATGATACAGTCGAAAATCTTTTATTCTGAAGGAATACCTTCAACCCAAAGTTGTGACTGCAATCCATTGCACACCTGAAGATCTTTACGAAATTAAGAACCACTTAATCGATACATTCACTCACATAAAATTCACGTACACTAAAAATTTTCCAATAGATGTACTAAATACAGATAATCAAAAAGCAATAGTAGAACAAACACACATAGGTGCACACAGAAGTTTTAGGGAAAATTTAAAACAAATCTTTACTATATATTATTGACTCAAAATGACCCAACATTTTAAAGAATTAGTAAGACATTGTGGGATTTGTAATAGAAATAAATATGATAGAAAGCCACAATAGGTACCAATTGGTGGAGCACCAATTCCCAAGAAGAAGGGAGAGTTAATCCATCTCGACATCTTCTTCGCGCAAAAACTTAAAAACTTAAATTAAATGTATCGATGCTTATTCAAAATATCTGTTCATTAAACAAATTGAAGACAAAACAAAACTCGATGAAAATGTTTTAAAACTTTTACAGTCATTCTCAGAGGCAAAACAAATTACCTTAGATGACGAACCAGGGTCCTCGACACTTCAGTTTAAGTCATTAATGGAACGAATGGGTATTAAAATTTATTATTGTGACCCACAGCATAGTTCAACGAACTGACAGATAGAAAGAGTTCATTCAACGGCAATCGAAATAACAAGATGCTTAAGACATGAATTTAGTATTGTAAACGATTTAGAAGTTATATTTAGAACCGTTCAACAATATAACAAAACAATTAATACGGTTACTAACTACAGACCGCAAGACATATTATATACTAAAATAGGCCACCTTGATATACCAGAAAAATTAGCTAAAACACAAGAAACTATATTAAAAAGAAATGACAAATTAAAAAGTTTGAAAACGTACAAACCTAACGAAACAATTTATGAAAAGGAAGAAGGTAAAAGAAACAAGTTAGATGTGAAATATAAAAAACAGAAAGTAAAAGAAGATCTAGGGAAGAAAGTTAAAATCCATTACAGAAACAGAATAGTATACAAAGATGATATACGAACTCAACTTTATTTCCTGTTTATAGACAATGGACCGATTAATCATTGCACTTATCACCTTATGCGGAATCGCGAAAACAGAAATAATTGACTACACGAGAGAAGATTACGTACTAGTAGACAACGGCGATGCAGTAATTTACGAAAAGTTTGGTGACATTTTTCATATAACAAATTTAACATACGTTAAGGAAATAGTGGAAGCAACTAGAAATGAAATTAACGAAAACATCGTTGTTAGATTAAAAACTCAAAATAATAAATCTGTGACACAGATTGACAATTTAGACATACAATTAGAGCTACATCTGATAGACACGATATTATCACAATTACAAAAGACTAACCATAGAAGAAAAAGAGAAATTAACGAACTAGGCACACTTTGGAAATGGATAGCAGGGTCCCCAGATCATGATGATCTGGTAACTATTAATAACAAATTAAACGAACTGGCAGAAAACAGCAACAAACAATTAACAATCAACTCAGAAATATTTAAAGCTCTATTCAGTATGGAAAAAATTATTCAAAATTTAGAAAATAGTTCGCGCAAGACAAAAGTAACGAAACAAACAAACAGACTAATACTAATTGAATTACAGAACCTATTACAAACAGTTACGCTAGCCAAAGCAGGTATATTAAACACAGCGATACTAGATTTAAAAGAAATCCAAGACATAATCAAGCATGAGAATACCAGAGTCACCTTAACAGATTTAATGGACGTATCCAAATTCAAAATTTTACAAAACCCAGATTTAATAGTAATACATATTACATATCCTATTATCAAAACAAATTGTAAACTATATGAAAGTAGAGCTATAAGTAAAAAAGATGGCAAATTATTAATTGAAAAAGAAGTCGTAAGATGTAATAATATATTTCCAAATGTTCAAATTTGTAAAATAGAATTAAGTAATAATTTTTGTAAACTATCCTTAAATGAGAGCTGCTTAACAACCCTACTAAATCACCGTAAAGCATCATGCACTAAAATAAAAGAAAAGAATAGAAATTTAGAACTAATAAAAGATGGTGCAATCCTAGTCTCAGGCAATCACGAAGTTGATGAACACACCCTAGAAGGAGTGTACCTAGTTACCTTTGAGACCAATGTAACAATAGACAATATTACATATATAAACCAAAAAACCGTAATTAATAACTATCTGAAGATGAACCATCCAAATAATTTCGAGATAATAAAGTATATAGAAAGTCTTAATGAAGAACTTCAACTTGAAAACATAAACTTAATTACAACATCAAAACAACACTTCAAGGAACATCCTATTACCTCATCAACTCTACTCTTAGCAACAATTTTTATTATCGCATACGGCAGCCATAAACTAAGCAGACGCATAAAACAATCTAGACGTAAACAAAATTCTTCAAAGCCTAGACATAAACAGCCTGACGAAATCATTGCAGAAATGAATCATCAAATAAACGAAATTTGTGAACAACTTCAAAAACAACAGAGTTGTGAGACATCCCCTGTATAAGAGCAGTTATTTCAATTTATTTAAAGAAACGGGACGTTTCTCTTTAAGAAAGAGGGGTGTTATCGCACGCTCTCACTTTGTAGGGTTAAGTATAAAACATAAAGTTATTTTGTAAGAGAAAATATAGAGAATAAGTTAGAATTTAAATTATGATCTGAGCAAGCTTTGAGTGAAAAGCTTTATTTGTAAGCTAGATTATTTGAATATAAAAGTAGGAGCATTGCTCACTTAGATTAGATTCATGTACGGTTTGATACGATTAAATGTAAATGCTATTGATTAAATAAAATATTTTTTAAAATATAACCGGACTTATAATTTCATTAATTTG